GCTGGAGGATGCGGTCGACGCCGGCGTCGACCTGGCCCTCCATTTCGGCCATTGGACGCGCCTCCAGCGACGGACTCTGGCGCTGGCGATGGGAAGTGCGGGGGCGGCGTGGGCAGACGAGCCAAGGCGGCCGACGGGGCGCCGGACAAAGCAGCCCCGGTCGTCAAGGTGCCATGAGCGATTGATCCCGACAATTGCCCTATGTTGTCGGCTGCCTCGACGACATCGACACTACAGCCGGCTCCTGGCTGCACGCAAGAATGGCTGGGACCGGCGTGGGCATGTCGGCCCCGCCGGCGATTTGGCAACTCGGACTGGATTCACCTCGCAAACCCAGCGCTGCCGAAGCCCAGTGTAGTGGCTATGCCACGTCGACCGCGTTCTATGCGGCGCGTGGTCGTGTGGTGAGATACCGGCGGCGCCGAAGGTCGCGAGTTCCCCCGCCCAAGACACAGCAGGCGCCTTCGTCATCCTCCTCTGCTGCTGCCGGTGTCGACTTCGCTGTGAACGTCGCTGCGGACGAGCTGGTGAGCCCGGCAGTGTGAGGGGCTACCGGCGAAAGCATCCCCGGCGCCGTACAGCCCAGCTTTGGCGAAGGCGACGGACCCGGCGCGATGTGCTTTCATACCACTCCAAAAGAGGGTCTGTCCGTCGTACCATTTTGGTATGCTCGTCGGGTGTCGAACTTGTCGTGTAACACATGAAATGTCGCCGACGATTTTTTTAAGCTCACCAGTCTCAGCCCTATTTTGCTTACTCCTTCAAAGACTTATGGGTCGTCGCTCGCTGGCGTGCGACGGGCCGGGATGCAGAAACCGTCCCCGGCGCCATACAGCCCAGATTTGGCGGCGAAGGCGACGGACCCGGCGCGATGCGCTTTCATTTATTTCATTCCAAAAAGAGGGTCTGTCCGTTGTAGCATTTTGCTATGCTCGTCGGGTGTCGAACTTGTCTCTGCTTGGCCTTTTGATCCAGGTCCTTGTAGGGCATGCTCACATCACTTACCTCGCAAGCACCAGGACAAGTACAACGTTTATTTCCTCACGGAGTTCCTTGGCGGTGGCGACTTGTTCTATGCCATCCGAGCGATTGGTGTGGGAGACTCATGCCCTCTCCTGCTTCACCAGCCAGAGCTCCTGCACATCAAGGGCAATAACGGAAAGTAAAGCTCATCGTGATACAGAAGTTGCAAGGCATCGTTTGATGCTCTTGCTACCAAGGCCTTGACCAAGCTCCAGTCCCAGTTCTTCACTGGCTCAATTGCTTTAGGCCGGCTGCTCGTGCTTCGGCGGCAGCACAGCACCGAATCTTACGTTGTGTCAGGAATCGAGTACTTGCATGGTCGCGGCATCATGTACAGGGACCTGAAGCCCGAGAATGCCCCTGCCTGAGAACCATCTCAGCCAGAGATGGAAAGAGCTGAAGCAGCGATGAGTGAAGTCAGGTTTTGCTGGACTTAGCAGGGCGGGCCAAGCTGGTGGACTTCGGCTGCTGCAAGAGGGACCGCGGGCTGAAAAACGGGCATCTGCGGCATCTGCAACCTAGCGGCCTTCAGGGCGCAGTGATGTGCAAGGAGATCCGCGCAAACACGCTGGTCGGGACTCCCGAGTACTTGGCACCCGAGGCCCAGCAGGGCAACGATGCTCGCGGAAGTCCAGCCTAGGAGTCCAGAGTGTGTGTGTGTGTGTGTGTGTGTCAGAGAGAGACTGCCTTCATTGATGCACAACTGGCCACCATCTTCATGTCGAAGAGTCGCAGGTGATCAAAGGCAAGGGCTACACCAAGTCCATTGACTGGTGGTCGCTGGGAGTTATGCTATATGAGCTACTTGGCGACAGCACTATCCTGTCAGAAGCAGAGTCCACGACAATCCGAGAAAATTTGCTCCTCTTGGCAATCATCTTTTTGACAGAGGCAGAGACCGTCTGGTCTCTGCATTTCTGTTCCGTATCAGCGAAGCTTTTGTTTGTAGTTCACTGCTTTTGGATTGCCGACGGAGGTTCGTGGTTGGCCCTATTCCCTTCGGAGCAGGTGAGGAGGCTGGGACCATCTTCAACTCTATCTGATTATCTGGGAATAGCATGAGACATGTAGTTCTGGTACAAAGGTCTAAAGCTCTGACTGGTGACTAGGTAGCCGGTTCGTGCTAGTAAGCAGCTAAGCGCTGCAGCATGTCCCGGAGCAGTGCATGCTTACCATGATTACCATGTCCGACCAATTTTTGCCGCATTCGCCCGTTGAGGATCAGATGCGGCTCTTTGCAGCGATCAGCGAGGCACTGCGGTCATCCTCTTGGACTCGGACCCCCAGCCACACCCAACACCACATCACAGCATAGGAAAGCCTTGAGCGGCATGAGACTCGGCCTAATTCGAGGAAAGACCTCTCTGGTTTTCGAGGCCCCTCTGACCTTTCCCACCTACGTCGCCGAAGACGCCATGCAGGCGCTCAGTCTTTGGTCTGCTGGGTGTGCACCGTGCCAGGTGTTCCATGTCTCTTACTATCTTCGCACTCTCCTAACAGCTACCCCTCCGTGGCAGCCTTCAGCGTATTTCAGCGCATTTCAGCGTGTTTCAGCCCGCAGGTGCTCAGCGGGCTACTGGAGCGGCGGCCGGAGAGGCGCCTGGGCAGCTCCGGGGCGAAGGACCCGCTGAGGGCGTCTCTGCGAGGGCTCAGGGGATCTCAAAATTCCGGCAGTGCGGTCGGAGGAGATCAAGAAGCATCTCTGGTTCAAAGGGCAGCTGCCTCAGTTGGCACTCTGGTTAGGTTGCTCTGCCACCTTTGTGTCTAGACTCTAGACTCTAGGCCGTGTCATTGCTGTGGCAGAAGGTTTGACTGGGATGCGCTGGCTGGGGGCTTTTTTCCGCCTCCATGGCAGCCGGATGCGCAGGCCGTGGACGAGCGGGTTGCATAAGCTGAGAAGCGTTGGCCTTCTTATGACTTCACTACAAACCGGGCTTGTTCAATTCGGTAGTGTAGATCTTTCTGCCGTGGCCTGAAGCAAACCCAAACTTATTGCACAGATTGAACCCGACGCTGATCTGATGCTGATCAACTTGCAGTTACCGCTTGCTTTATGATGCCCCATGCAGCCCGTGTGCTGCAGGCGCAGATGAGGAACTGGGAGGTGCACACGGGGCTTTTTCTTGCCGAGTGTTGGAAGGGAGGTGTCCTGATAATCTCTAGACACCCGTGATCTCAGGTCTGGACTTCTTCGTGGTACTTGTAACGTAGTTCAGGGCTAAAGCCTCTCGTTTCAGGAGCCCGATGGTGACCTGATGGATCACGCAGCTCGCTTTGCTCTGGTCGCAGGAACTTGAGTGGATGCTGTGCGGTGGACGGTAGGTTGTAGATCGACATCAATAAACTTGCAAAGGAAGAGCTTTGTGAGAGCTTCACGAAAGTTCAGCTGCACATCGGCTGAGGTAAGCACGGAAAGCTTCTCGTTCGCCAAGGGTCCGCGGCTCAGCGCTGTTGAGTCTGCGGCCTGGCAAGGCGCATCGTCATGTTGATCATTTTTTTGGGGCGAACCCTGGGGTCCTCAATCTCGTTGATTCGTTTGATCATCTGATGACCTTCCAATGCAGTTTCTGCTAAGGAATGGAATGGGCGAAGCTCTTCTGACTTGCATGGGTTTGGCAAGAGCCTGTAGGTTTGGTGTTGTTTGGAATGTGCTGCAGAGCAGTCCCGTGGCAAACCACGCCCAAACTCCGCCGATGATAATGCTCTGGCAGTCATGCGCATCAAGATCTTCATGCTCTAGACACTATATGCACTCGTGCTGCAGCTATGATTCGAAGATTGCGCAAGGCCGCGGTAAACGTCCTATGCCAACACACAATGCGTTGGCTTGTGAATGCACCTCGCCCCACTGCCAAGCAGGAAGCAGCGGTTTTATAAAACGCCGGTGTGCCTGCTAGCCTGACCAGTTGCTTGCTCGCTTGGGGCGCTTTTCTTGGGGGCTTTGCGATCAGAGGAGCTTGAGCTTGCTGCAGGCGGCATCGTCGGCATAGTTACTATATATGTCCCCCCTGCACTTGCAGCGTTTGGCTCAGACTTTGAGAACAGTTTCAGGCTCTGGCACCAGGACTTCGGGGCCTCTGCGCTCTGGTTCGGGGAGTTTCCGTAGGCGGAATGGGGCTTTGGGGAACTCATGTAACAATGGCTGCACCACGTTTCGATTAGTATTGTGAATCTTCATCAGCGGGTAGGTATAGCGGTAAAGCTGTTCCTTCAAAGCCACTTCGTGCCCCGTTCTTATGAGGTGTTTCCATTGCTCGTGTGTCTGTTGAGGCTGTTGTTTTGCTTGGGTGTGTGCGTGTTGTTGCTGGTGTCGGTTGTGGCCCCGAACATTGATGTTTCCTTTGCAACTGCTACCTACTGCCCTGCTGATTTCCTGGTTTTACCTGTTCGTTCAGCTAGAAGACGCAGAGGATCCTGCGGCTGGCCAGCATGTCGCATACGATCTAGCCCTCGGTGACAGAAGCCGGACTTGAAGCAGGACAGTCGAATCGCAGGGATGTCGCAGCGTCCTTCGAAGCGTGAAACTCGGCGGAGGTCGGGCGTCAGGGAGATGCAAAAGCCACTCAGAGGGTTTTTTTGTTCAGTATTGTTATGCTTCTGTTCTTATCGATGGAGGTTATAAAACATGGTATGATCACTGGCGCCAGTACACCGCTAATGCTGGTATTGTTACTTGCAGCTCTGGTGCCATCATCGTTTTCATTCTTGGCTTCATCCTTCGTGGTTTCTCGATCAGTATCAACGGTTGTTCCTTCAGACGACAGGGCCAGCCAACTGGAGCATGCATTTTGCTATCGTTAGGGCCTTAGGGACTGAGGCGATGGTCAGGTTGCAAGAAGTCGTAGTGGTGGCAGTAAAGCAGTAGTAGTAGTAGTAGTAGTAGTAGTAGTAGTTGTTAGTAGTAGTAGTAGTAGTTGTTAGTAGTAGTAGTAGTA